AAAAAAAAAAAAAGTAAGACTGCCTCAAAATAAATCATCATCAGGAAGACAGGTATCTTTGGTGTTTTTTAAATCAAATTTTGGAGACTCGGCATAAAGAAGTAGTCACCAAAATGAACAGCCGCAGAAACGATGATGATATTTACACGGCGCCAACAAAATCATCTCTTTCTGAGAATCCAACAGTAGTTTCCAACTTCCATCCTCTGTTTCCTATGTTATGAGATTGTCTGACATATTTTCTTTTCTTCTGCTCTGACCTTTCATCTATAATCTGCCAACCTTTGTGTTTTATATGAAAAGTGTAAACAGGGCAGCTGACAAATCTCCTGTTACTTGATGGCATTTTCATTTTTTTCCAGACTAGATTAATTTGAAAGTCTCTGAAGTCAAGCTGCGAACTTCTTGGTATTCAAATAGCATTACTTCAAAATTGTCAGACAAGGAGGTGTCTGCCTTTATCATTTTATTCAGATCAGGCCATCTAAGTTGACCCTTTTGAATAATAATAAAAAAAAAGGCCATGTGTAGTTATTCTAACATGGAAAAAAAAATCCTTGCTGTGAATGACCTAAAGAACTCTACCAACTAACCAGTTCTATCTTTCCCAACACATGGTATAAGTTCTACTAGTGTTATATGAGATTATTTTAGGTGGAATGAAAATGAATCTTTGACAAAACGTCACATAGTTCTGTATATTTTAAAAATGCATGTTTGAAAAAATACAATATAATGGTATAAACAAAGATATATAGCTGCATTTTTCTACTTATATTTATATATACATAAAATAAGAGATGATTTAAGGAAAACTATTGAGCAAATAATAGTATAGGTAATCTACAGGTATAGCAAAGTGATCGTGGTAGCGAATGAGTGAAGGAAATGTGGGAAATGAACCCATTAGCTCAGGTTAGAGCTACAGACTATAAGTGAGACCATATGCTCTAAAAGGCAGCATTTGAGTCTTACTCTATTCTGTATCTTCTGGGCTTAGTGGTGTCACATAAATAGATACTTATAAAATGAAAGTCAACTGGGTCCTTACAGTTCTAATTACCCCACACTCTTGCCACCACCTAATCCCCAAAGTAGCCATCATGAAATATTTCCAGGTTCTTCTGTAGTTCCCAGGCTCCCTCTGACCCTTCACTGGATGTGCAAAATGTCCTCTAACCACATGGACAAAAAGGGAGGCAGGGTCTCTTTACTTCCTCCTCTTCCCTTTCCAGTCGCTCCATGCGTTTGCATCTTCTTGGCTTTCTAATGATTTGCCTCTTAATCTGACTCCTCCTACTCACAGAGCACCTTCCTCTTCCAGACATCTCCTCTCTTTGATAATTTGGGCTTCTGTCTATACATATTTGATCTTCCTCCTTAGTGAGTTTATGTTCACCCACCCCAAGAAAATAAAGACAAGCCCCCTTGACACATACCCACGTACACACGCATGCCTCACACACAACCTTAAATGTTGACCTTGATCTTGCTGCTTCATTGAGATACTTCCTCATTTCACTTCCAAACTTCTGGAAAGAGGATTCCAAAAGCTCACAGCTGGTAGTCCAGATTCAGCCCACAAATGTGTTAATGGTTAGCCCTCAACTAAGTTTTTTTTTTTTTTTTAATTGAACTAACATTTAGAACTCAGGAAATATCACACACAAAAATCTGGGTTTTAAGTTTCTTTTGGAAAATCAAAAGATCAGACAGCACTGAGCTCCAGTCTGCCAAGAGACCTCCCAATTCCTATTTCTTCTCATACCTGGCCCACTTATCACATTTGTTTTGCCAGATGGGTCACTATATTATTAGATGTCACAATTTATAGACAAATGGTTTCACAGAATTTATCTAATACAATCTGGCTTGTTTCTATTCTTCTTTCAAAAGCTTCCCTGGAATGTTGCTAATAACCATCTAATAGCCAGAGCCAAGGCTTTCTTCTCAGTTCTCACTTCTGTTAATGACACCTGGGTGACATCACTGTCCCTTAAAGTATCGAATCTCTTGCTTCCTGCTGCTGCACTCTCAAGTTCTCCTCCAGCCCCTCTGGTGTTTCCTTTCCTCTCTTTTCTTCCTCAGCTCCCTTCACATCACATCTCATTTGCAGATTATTCCGTCATACTCTCCTTCATCTTTCTTTGCATGGATATCACTTAATTCTTTCTTACTGTACTTCTCACATTTTTGTTCTGTATGGTCCAATTTTTACACTATTACAATTTAACCTG